AAGCACTGTGTATATGCAGAATGGAATATTAATAATCATTCTTTGAAAGGAAGGAAATGCTATCATGTCCTACAACATGGATGAGTCTTGAAGATATATGTTAAGTAAATAAACCAGTCACAAGAAGACCGTACGACTCCACTTATAGGAGATATATAGACATCAGATTCCAGGAACACAAAGTAACATGGTGGTCACCAGGGTCTCACTGGGAAGAGGAGGGCCTGGTCGGGGAAGTGGGGAGTTATTATTATAATCAGTAGATATACGGTTTCAGTTGTGCAAGGTGAAATATTCTAGAATCTGTTGTACAGCTGTACACTTAAAAATGGTTAATATGTTCAACTTTGTGTTTGTGCTTTCTTTTTTAATCAAGACAGATACATGCATGAATGGGTGGAAGATTGGAGAGATAGAAAGATAATATGTTAGAGGGACAGAGAGACAGTAGACGCGTAGATATGTAGATCTCTAGAGAGATGACATGCAGATCATACGTAACAAAATACACCACAGGCCATCTCCATCTCCTCGGCACCTTCTATTTTCTGTAACGCGGATTTTTCCCAAATTATGTGCCTATTTTTCACATTTTCTTCATTTATTTGTGGTTTGCATAGTTGGTTAGTGATTGTTTTGGGTATATCCCTCTCTCTAAAAGAAGACTTCACTGAGCCCACGATTTTTAAATGCTTTTCATGGATGGGCGCCTGGCACATACAGAGCTTGTCTCTTGGTCGGTACCCAATAGTTTTTCAGACTAAATTAAAGAATGAAAGCACGTGTTTCACTCTGTTGCTCAGAATCTTCTACAGGAAGTGAAATGAGGAGGGAAGAGCCTCTGATGATGGAGGAACAGCCCATGCAAAGATGCAGAGGTGCAAATCATCTTGTTGTGGGTGACAACATTGGAAAACCCAGCGTGGGTGGAGCTCAGAGCAAGAGGCAGGAAGTGGCTGGAGGTCAGGGCTGGGCCAAGGTGAAGAAGCGTGGTACTCGCCAGAGTCCAAAATGAAAATGCAGCCAA